TAATTCTCAACGCAGCTTTGACAAATGTTGATAAAATCTTGGTTGTTTGGAATTATAACTCGAATTATTTTGTTTTTGATCCAGTCAATAAATTCTCGATCATACATGAGTACTAAAAGTAATATTTTGTAATTAATATAAATTATTAAGGTTAAATTTTTTTTATATTTATTATAAAAAAAAAATTAATAATAGTTATTATATTTTTGGAATAATAATATGTTTCGGTGTTTAATTTGTTGTAAAGAATTTAAAACAAAACGAGGTTTAGAAAAACATAATACTATAGTACAAAGGTACAACAAACCATGATATGATCTTGATTTACTACCTTAAACAAATTTTGATTTATTGGATTCGCAAACATTTACCAAAATACTATAAAAAATTTGGCAAGCAAACTTTTTCATTAGCATGTACAAAAAGTCAATTTTTTACAATTTTTGCTGGATATATTCACTATTATTCATCACAAACTAGAATATATAGGTGTATTTTTCAAGGATCAAATGGATATCAAACAATGTCAGATCTTCTTAATGATAATTTATGGGGGCAAAAAAACTACAATCAACAACAACAAACATTTGTATTTCTTGGCTATAATCATGAACAAGAAGAAAATCCATTACTACATGCATTGCAAAAAAAAAATAATCAAGTTAAAAAAAAAACTTGAAAGCCTAAAGTAAATCGTGGTGAATTAGTAATTGAATAGAAGCAAAAAAAAGAAAAAGATGCAAGTGGAATTGAACATTTGGCAGGAACTATTTCATTTTATTTTTTTGTTTGTCAAGTGCAATTTTCTTAAATAAATTTTACACCAATAAAATCTCTAAAGATTAAAATTATATAAGTAATTAATCATGTCACTTAGCTGTAAATTATATAATCTAGTAACTATATAGTTAACCCGCCCAAATAATTTGTACATTCTTCTGAGATCTATTATAGAGCATAATTGAGAATTTAAAATAATGATAGCTAGGTAAAAGCAAATATATGTAAACCAATTTCCTACTATTCATTTTTTCATTTCTTAGCATAGGAATTAAACCAGAGTTTTCTATCTAAGTAACTAAAGTTAGAATTGCGAAAATATGGAATATTTAATATAATATCGTTTATTATCTCAATAACGGTTTTAAGATGTTTAGAAATAAGTTCTTCTTCTACAATATTTCTAATTTTCGGTTCTGTAGTTTGTGAAAAGTAATGGCGTACATGTTATTCTTCTTCATTAAAACGTTTTTCAACCTAAATAAATATAAAAGTGGCAAATTAATGATGACAGTTTTGTAAAATATAAGCCAATAATAATCGTAATGTACTTTTTTCATATATTCTGGTACATCACATTCTCCTACAAGCATTTGACCCTCAACTCGATAATATTCAGCGCTAGTCTCCAAAAATCGTTCTTCAAAATCAGTTGTGTAAACTGAATCTTTTGCACTTGTATCAGTTAACTTAAGCAGCATATCCATTGATGCTTTAATATTAGAATGATCAATGATCTTGTTTTTACGTTCAAGAAGGATTTGATTCAAAAGAACGTCTAAAAGATGATTCTGAATGGGATATATTGTGGATCGAACTATGGTATCCCTAAAGAGCTCTAATCCCAGTTCGTAGACTAAAGTTACATTTGCTGATTTGGCATATACACGATCCTCTGAGCATAATGCATTTAATAGACATAATAAATGATTAGAAAGTGATTCACTTGAATGTTTAATAGCTACATTGTTATAAACGATCATCAAACTAAATGCCGTAAATATTCACAAAATTGAATACTATATTATTTAGCAAGAATAAATAAGAGTCATTGTAATAAATATTTATGAAATTAAATAGCTTATATTTTTGTACTTACCAACAAAGTCATGGCAAATAAAATCAGAGTATCACATAGTACTAAATATCTGTAAATTTGAAATCTTATTTTAAATAAATCAATTCATTAAAATTCTTATCAATGCATACAATTAAATGAAATAATAAATATTCATAAACTTAAAATAGCTTTAAATGTATTGATTAACAAATAATTTTTTACTTACCACTAATAAAATAAAATCGAAGAGGTATTCTTCAATAATTGAACTTTATCGTAGAATGAATAAATAAATTAGGTTCGGGTTCATATCATTTCACCAACAATCACCACATTTCATCGACACTCGTTTCATCTACAAGCTTATTTTACAGACGATTAATTTACATACAAGTTCATTTCGTAGACAGTATATTTCGCCGACAGCTAATTTCACAGACAAGTTTTTTTTTATAAATTGCACTAAACTTAATTTTAATTTTAAACCTAACCCTAACAATGATGATTAGAATTACGATGTCTGTGAAATGAGCGTTGTCAATCAAAACATAGCTTAGTGAGATTGATCATTTTCCGAAAATTGTTACACTAAATGATAAAAAAATTATAATTTTTTACACTATGTGTAACAATTTTCAAAAAATGATCAATCTCACTAAGCTACATTTTGATTGACAATGCCCCAAATGAACTGTCAATGAAATACACTACCTACGAAATAAATTTGTCTGTAAATTTGTTGGTAAAATGTGGCATCTTTGAAATAATTGTCGGTGAGTTAATTGGAACTGTTAGAATTGTTAGAAATGTTATATCATTAATAAATTGCCTTAACTTACTTAAAACATGTATTTGTGAGCCAGGTAATACCTTGATCGCAACTATAAATAATAGCATGTGTATTCTCTAAATCGGCCTGAAACTATTCCTTTACCATCTAACTATGTTGCTAAAAACATTGGCCCAGGTCTTCATCAATCTTTTGAATATTATCAATATCTACTCTAATTATGTCTTCATAAAATATGAAATTTCTAGTGTTGTTTTGAGGGTCATATGCTTGATACCAAGAAATAGATGTATTATATCGGTTGCAAGTTACACATCTTCAGAATCCCTTTTAAAATCAGATCTGGTATATTCGTTTATTAGAGTGCCTTGAATTAGTTTATATACTTTAGATTTATTACCTTTAGACTTGCAAATAAATAAATGTTTTTAAATAAAACAAAATTGTACGCAATAAATAATAAAATAAATTTTAACTTACCTTGCTCAGAATTATATAACATTTAATTTTTTTTTTTTTTTTTTTTTTTTTTTTTTTTTTTTTATTCTTTGACAGGTCTTGCCGTGACTTGCCCTCTTAGTTTTTAAGTACATTTAA